TTTAAAGTAAGGAAGAGCTTCCCCTTCTCCCCCACTTATTTATGAATTTATTTTCAGTAGGGACTCATGGAATCTTATTATTATATAACAGCTTGTAATTTATTTATTATATAATTTATTATAACATATCATGAATTACCTAATTTATTTATTATAATATGTTGTTGTTGTTGTTGTTGTTAAGTGCTGTCGAGTCATTTCCAACTCATAGCAACCCCATGCACAGCAGAACGAAACACTGCCTGATCCCGTGCCAGCCCCACAATCCCTGCTATACTTGACCTCATCATCACAGCCACTGTGTCAATCCATCTCGTTGAAGGCCTCCTCCTCTTTCGTCGACCCTCCACCCTACCAAGCATGACATCCTTCTCCAGGGAATGGTCCCTTCTGACAACATGACCAAAATAGGTGAGACGAAGTCTGGCCATTCTTGCTTCCAAGGAGCATTCTGGCTGCACTTCCTCCAGGACAGATGTGTTAGTTCTTTTAGCAGTCCATGGTACTTTCAGCATTCTCCGCCAGCACCACAACTCAAAAGCATCAACTCTTCTTCGGTCTTCCTTATTCATTGTCCAGCTCTCACATGCATATGAGGCGATTGGAAATATCATGGCTTGTGTCAGGCGCACCTTAGTCCTCAAGGAGATATCCTTGCTCCTCAGCACTTGAAACAGTTCCTTTGCAGTTGACTTTCCCAATGCTACACGTTGTCTAATGTCCTGACTGCTGCTTCCGTTGGCATCGATTGTAGAACCAAGCAACGTGAATTCTTTGACAACCTCAATCTTCTCTCCATTTATTGTGATGCTGCTCATTGGTCCAGTTGTGAGGATTTTTGTTTTCTTTATATTGAGACGTAATCCATACTGCAGACTGTATTCAATCTTCATCAGTAGGTGCCGTAAGTCATCCTCACTTTCAGCAAGCAAAGTTGTATCGTCTGCATATCTCAGGTTGTTAATGATTCTTCCTCCAATCCTGATACCACATTTTTCTTTATATAGTCCAGCTTCTCGGATTATTTGCTCAGCATATAGATTGAATAAGTGTGGAGAAAGAATACAATCCTGACGCACTCCCTTCTTGATTTTAAACCATGTAGTGTCCCCTTGTTCTGTTCGAACGACAGCCTCCTGGTCAAGGTACAGATTCCTCATGAGTACAATCAAGTGCTCGGGAATTCCCATTCTTCTCAATGTTATCCATAATTTGTCATGATCCACACAATCAAATGCCTTTGCGTAGTCAATAAAACACAAGTAAACATCTTTCTGGTATTCTTTGCCTTGAGCCAAGATCCATCTGACAACAGCTATGATATCCCTTGTTCCACGTTATTATAATGTATAATATGTTAAATAATGGCTTATAATCCATTATGAATACTGTCATTATTCATTTCAATGCACAGATGGTCCCAGTTTTTAAAGCCAGTGTTCTTAAGCTGTATACTACATTACCTCTCTGTCAGATACTACTCCTCACTGCCTTCAGTTATATGCCCATCAATAAGAGCCTTTTTGTGCCCTCTTGGCCTTCAGTTTTCTAGGAACCATGAAGACTAGTTCAGTCTTATCCAAATTATATGTAAAAGAAGAGTAAAAAGTCCTCAAGAGTGTATGAACTGTTGAATGGCAAATGAATTTGCTCTGTAAGCTAGCACCCTAATCACAATCTAAAAAAGAAAAAGAATCTCCAAGGGAGAACCTGAAGAATTCTATCATGAATTAAATATGAGTTTAAAACATGGATTTTAGCTACTCAGAGAGCCTTCTCCCTTCTCTTTGTAATCTTAATCCATATTCTGGATAAATCACCTGTGAAAGGTAATTTTTAAAGTCCTTTTAGGTAAAGTACATAGACAAGAGACTCACTTGCCTATGTTTGATCAGATGTAGAAGAACATCAGTTACATGAAAGATGGATTATGGTTGTTTGACTTACCTATAATGAATGTGTGTTGGTATGCATGGAATTTATTGGAATCTGGTCATCCATTAGGCAGATGGGTAACCAGGTGCTATGTCTGTTGAAAGTAATACACCCACTCCTCACTTATTGACATGATTAAGTTCTAAAGACCAGGTGGTTAATGTGAAAATAGGCATTATAAGAAAATGGAGGATGACCACATCATCATACAACTGCCAAATTACGTCATTTATGTAACTACCAAACCACTGAAAATCATGGCCCAGCCAAGGTGACACATAACCTTAAAGCATCACAGCCAGCTTTACTCTTGCCTTATATCTTAGCATTCATTACTGCTTAAATAATGCCAGGTGTATGTCATTAATACACAAAATAGATTGATTTTATACTATGGTCATAAATGCAAAGTGTCAGATAATAAGATAGCCAGTAAGTGAGGAATAGGTGTAATAATCAAACTGGGTAGTACAGGGAAAACCATTAACATTGCTGGTTTATGGGTATTGAAAAAACTATCAAAGAAGAAAAAACTAAAAATGTAATTTGTTTTTTAATAGTTAAGAGTAATTGTTTGAAATGTTTATCATTTGTCTTCAAAAGCATTAACAGTTTTAAAGATCAGTAAGCAAAAGATAAACATACTAAGAGAAAAGTAGGCAAAGAACATGAATAAGGGATTCATAAAAAAAAAAAAAAAACTGGCTTTTAAACATAAAAAAGTACATCCTCACTAGTAATCAAAGAAATGCAAGTTGAAACAGCAATATGATACTATTTCCTGTTAACCAGTTAACACATTCTGAAAAACAAAAACACCCTATTTTGTTGAAGGGAAGGCACACGGTTGCTCTCATACTTCATACTTTGCTAGGGAAAATTAAAATTGGTACAACTTTCTGAAAAGCAGTTTAATAATATTTATTAAAATGGTTATACTTTTTGACTTAAAACTTCATAGTCTAGGAATTTATCCAAAGAAAATAACCAGCGATATTGTGTTATTGATAATATTGAAATATTAAAAATAATCTAATTGTTTTACAATAGGGGACTGGGTAAATAAAGCATGGGATAGTGTTATAATGGAATACTGTGCAACCATTAAAAACAGTGTTGTAATTGGCATAACATAGTCCATAAAGACAGTGTTCTATGTCCTACTTTGAAGAGTAGCAACTGGGGTCTTAAGAGCTGGCGAGCAGCCATCTAAGATGCAACTATTAGTCTCTCCCCATCCAGAGCAAAGAAGAGTGAAGAAAATCAAAGACTCCAGGAAACAGTCAGTCCATAGGACTGATGGACCACACGAACCACAGCCTCAACTACTCTGAGACCAGAAGAACTAGGTGGTGCACGGTTATCAATACCCACCACTCTGAAAGGGATTACAATAGAAGATCCTGGACAGAGTGGGAAATAAATGTAGAACAAATTTCAAAATTATAGAAAAGATTAGACTTACTGGTCTGATAAAAACTAGAACCCCCAAGACTATGGCCTTAGACATCTTCAAACCTGGAACTGAAGCCACCCCTGGGAATCACCTTCCAAGCCAAATAATAGACAGGCCTATAAAGTGAACAATAACACCTATGAGAAATGTAATTCTCAGAACAGTTAACCACATGAGATCAAAAGGGCAGCATTTTCCCCAAAACAAAAAGGCAAAAGGCAGAAAGGGGCAGGAAAGAAGGACAAATGGAAATGGGGAACCCAAGGAGGACATGGAAAGAGTGCTGTTACATTGAAGGGTTTGCAACTAACGTTACAAAACAAAATATGTATGAATTGTTGATTGGAAAAATAATTTGGTTTGTAAACTTCCACCCAAATCACAATTAAAAAAAAAGACAAAAGAGTGTTATAGATGAATATTTAGTTAGTTTCTGGAAGTGTGTGCGTATGTGTGTGTGTGCATACAGTTTATGTATGATCCCATTTTTATAAATACATGTATATATTCATATGAAAACTGGAATAATTGTATATATACTAAAGCATTCACTTCTCCTAGATTATGCTCTCTGAGTTTTGTGAACAAGAAGGAAAGCATAAGCAGGAACATTACATAAAAGAGAAAGAAGAAAGAAAGCTAACATGAGCACTTCCTAGAGCAAACACTGTACAGTGTTTTATAAATGTATCTGATTTAACCTTGGAACAACCCAGTGCAGGCCCCTGTCTCTGGTTCTACTCCCTCTAGTCCATTATTACAGAGTCACTAGAATTATTTTTCTAGTGACAGAGTTCTGGAAGGAAATATACCCACCTCTGAAGCTGTGGTTACTCTTGGAGTTTAGATTAAGGAGGGTGGATATAAGGGAACATTTTAGTTTTTTTCATTTACTATATTTCTTCATGGTTTGAATGTTTTTAAAAGCAAGTATATCTTTTGTAATTGGGAGGAGCAAAGTATCTTTCATATCACTCCCCCTTTCAACCCTTCCGTGGCTTACCTCATCTCCCACTGTTCTTCCCCTTACACCCCAGCTTGTTTCTGTTCAGATCTAGCACGTGCTCTCACCACTAGGCTTTGTAAATATGTTGGGTCCTCCTACTTTACCATGCTAGATCTGGCTCTTTAGCCTTCAAATCTTAAATACCTTCAATACCTCTTCTTAGGGGAGGCCTTCCCTGATCCCCTCCTTTGTTTTGCTACTGCACATAGGACTTCTCTCATCATAACCTTTAACACACTTTGCTGTCATTTTATGCTGAACTGTTACCCTTCCTAGAAGACTGTAACTCCATGAGGGCACAGATTCCAGCACTAGAACAGTGACTAGCACAGAGTAGGCTATTTGAAAGTAATTGTTGAAGAGTTTGTAGTTGCAGAGACTGAGCCTTAGAGAGGTTGAGTAACTTATCCAGAGCTCTCAGCTAGGAAGCTTCCAAGCCAGCTTTCCTACCCTTATCTTTTACACTCCCAGAGTCCATGTTCTTTCCACTGTACCACACACATGAGCAGAGGGAGATGCACCCCAGAAACATGCTTCAGAATCTGGGTCTGCTTCCTGGGCCTTTCCTGATCCTGACACTTCTGTATTTCTGATTTCTTCCAGTGTGGTGCAGGTTCTGCTTGCCGCTGGGGCTGACCCAAACCTTGGAGATGATTTTAGCAGTGTTTACAAGACCTCCAAGGAGCAGGGAATCCATTCTTTGGAAGGTGAGTGTGGACTATCCTACTGCTCTGGGAGCTCTCTTCTGTGTGCATTCTCTTATCCCTGCTCTGTGCCAGCTTGACTAGCAGCTCAGAATGAAAGCCAGTCCCTTCTCTTTGGGAACTCCTGTTTAACCTGGAGGACTTGAAACAGATGTTTGTCACAGTCCCTTCTGGATCCATAATTGGTATTACTTCGAAAGTCTTGAAGAGTGAAATAGAGGTCTGACTTTGTGACAGATAGGAAGGGGAGAGCATTGATTTCAACTGTTGGTCTCCCAAAGGCAGAGACACCAAACTTGCGGAGTCCCAGTATGGGCAGTGGAGCAGTTGTCAATGAAATAATTAAGGCAGCTGCATGGAATGTGGATCTGGTCATCTTTCACTTCTGGCAGATTTAACCTTCCCCAGAACTAAGAAGCAGCCTCACTCCTTCCTCAGAAGAAACCTCAGAGCCTCGGGAGGTCCCTCAACGTTGCACTGAATACTGCCCCCCATTCCATTATGTAAAATACAATCCTTCGATGAGACTAGCTCCTCAGCTTAGTGTATGATTCAATTCAGCAGTCAGTCTCTCTCTGTGCCTTGATGCCTGTGCTTGTAAAATGAGGTCATTATCAGTGCCTCCTTCAGATGCTATGTGGGTAATTGTTAGAAGTTCCACAGAAGAAAAAGGTGGTGTTCACCTTTACTAGAGCTCAGTCACATGTCTGCTGGAGGGCCCCTGGACAGATCAATTTTGTTGCCTATGGTGAATAATTGTTTGAAAGTGGGTCGAGAATATAGTAGGTTGTTTTGGCTCCATGCAGAAATGAGTATTTTACATTTGAGCTTTTTGCTCATCCAGATTGTCCATACTGCCTGTCCACTATCTCGTAGAGGTTGAGATCCCCCTCATATTTCCAACAACAGAGCATCTGGGCATTGGCTACTTGAGGGTTGGCAACGATGCCAGGACAGACAGCCTTGCTGACTGCCTAAAGATCAGAAAATTGGCCTGGAGGAGGGTCCAGCTGGGGGAGCAATGTTCCATGTCCTCAGAGCTGTTGATGAGGCTGCCTGACTGATGTATGTTGTAGCCCAAGAGCAGAGGTGTCATTGCTGCCTCACAGAGAAAGTTCCTTACATCAGCAGCTTGAGGGATGTCCAAGAGCATTGGGGTACTGCTGCCCAGATAAAATGTAAAGTTGCCCTTCCCCTGCCTCACCACCTCTTGAAACCTGGTCCTTCTGTTAAGACTCCATTGCTCAGACTAGATCCTCCACAAAAGCCTTCCCTGTACTTGTCAGTAATTGCAACCTGCCCTCAGCTGCTCTTTTGAATGTTCTCTAAATCTTGGCCTCTTATATGGTTATTTGAACTTTAATCTGCCCATATGTCTTTCTCTCCTCTCAGTTGACAGTTCCTTGCATGTGTAGGCCATGACCTATGCCTCCTTGGGTTCCCCACTGAGCCTGGAGGAATTATGTTCATTTTGTGTTTCAAACACAGCAGAATTTCGTGAGTGCCAGACTTGCCCTATATTTGCAGCCTGACATGGGGGCTTAGCTGATACGGGCTTTCCTCACCAAAGCACAGCATTGCCACCCTCAGCTCTGTCTTCTGTTCAAGTGCTTTCACCAAAAATCAAAAAGGAGCATTTGCTTAGAGGGCGGGACCACATAGGAGGGGTGTCTTCTAATCTACTCTCAGAATCCCAGAGGGGTTCAGTAAACATTTTTGATTCACAGAATCTCAGAGCTGGAAGGCCATTTAGTCTAACCTCTCCTGACACATCAGTCCCCCACCCTCTAGGGTAGCAATCCTCCTGCAGCCTCCCTGACCCTAGCATCAACTTCTGTTTGCTTAGGGAACCCACTTCATTCTTAACACTAATTGTGGTTGTGTTTTTTTTTTTTAAAAAAAAAAAAAAAACTGGTTTTATTCAGTAGTCTGCCTTCCTGAACCCTCTCTTATTGTCAGTACTAAAGTTGGGAACCATACAGATCATGCCACCACTCTCTGCCCCATAGTTCACCTATTTTAAGGTAGTGATCATTTGCCTACTGTCTTCTCTTTTACAGTTCTTTCAACTGATTTTCATTCTGTCTTTATCTCATCCTCTGGATAGACTATACTTTTTCAGGGTCATTACTGAAATAACACTTCCAGGACAGAGCATATGTCTCTTGATTTGCCCTCTGTGCTTCTCCCAATGCAGACCATGTCTTCATTGAAGTTTCATAGCTTTATATTCTGATAGGAACTCTGTTAGCACAGTGGTTAAAGCATTTGACTGCTAATCCAAAGGTCAGCAGTTCAAACCCACCAGCCACTCTGTGGGACAAAGATATGGCAGTCTGCTTACAATAAGATTTACACTCTTGGAAACCCTATGGGATACTTCTACTTTGTTATATAGGCTTGCTGTAAGTTGGAATGGACTAGATGGCAGTGGATTTGGGTAATATTCTAATGGTTCTCTCCAGGTTGAAACTCATACTCAACATTCTAGATCAGTGGTCAGTAAACTCTTTCTAGAAAGAGCCTGATAGTAAATATTTTAAGCTCTTTAGGCTAGACATTTTCTGTCATAACAACTCAGTATGGCCATTGTAGTGCAAAAGTTGCCATAGACTGTGAATGACTGTGGCTATGTTCAAGTAACACTTTATTTACAAGAATAGGCAGCAGGCCAGAGTTGGCACTTAGACTATAGTCTGCTATGGTGTAGATATTTTCTTTTTTTATAGTCTAGATATTTTTCTAGAACAGAAATATCTGTTCTAGATATTTTCTTTTTTTCATCACCTCCTCTGAATTCTTTTTAACTCTTTCACCAGCCAGCCTGCATTCCAGATAGAGCCATAAAACCCATTGCCATCAAGTCAATTCATAGCAAACCTGTAGACTGATAGACAACAAAAATACTGGAAAAGGCTTATCATATCTCTCATGAAATAAAATAAAAACATTAACTATCTTTCTTATTCTGTATGATTTACAAATTTTATGAGTAAGCTTTCTGTGAATTGATTGATTTATTAGATTTTTATTGATTTAATTCCCATGTATACCAGGCACTGTTCTAGGTGCTTACAGATGAGATCCCTGCCATCATGGGCCTTAAATACTAGTCTGATTAAAATGGTTATTAGTACTCTGCTAAATCCAGAATCCTGAAGCACATTACAAGCAATTGCCCTTAGGACAATTTTGACCCATTATTCAATATTCATGGATATTTTTGTTGAAGCAACTGTGAATCCACTAAACTTTTTTTCCAGCCCCACTCTTCATCTTGTTCACAAAATTGTAAGAGATTTTCTGAGATTTCTTGCAAAATCAAAATGTGTGTAGCATTTGTTTAATTTTTCCTCTCCCAGTCACCCTTCCAGAAAGGAAATCAGGTTATACTGGCATGTTCATGTCTTGTTATTAGGAACCTATACTGGTGCCCAGTAATCTCTGAAGTGTTTAAGAAACATTTTTAAAATACATTCAAGAATTTTGTCAGGAGCTGTTGATAAATTCACTGTGCTTCAGCTTAGCCTCTCTCCACCTTTTTCTTTTCTTTTTTAAATTCCAGGCCACCTTTGCTTGCTACAGTTTTTGGTAGCTTATCTTACTGTATCAGTTTGGATGTGCTCTGCTCTCAGACTTCATGTACCTGCTTTTTACTCTGGAACCTGGAGAGTTATACTCCTTTAGCATCATTTTAGGGCTCTGTCCTTACCCAAAGCCTTCAGTTCTTTCTTAACTTTTTTTCCTTTACTTTTTGTCTTTAAGGCTATATCATTCTTTCATCCATGTGACTAGTATGTGTTGAGTGCCTACTGTATACAAGGCGCTGTACCTAGCTCTGGGTCATTCTCATTTATTAAGTAGAAGCAAGAGAGTCCTATGTTTTTTCTTTCTTTGAATTGGATTGACTTTTTCATGGGTAGTTATATGAATTGGAGGGAAGGGGGTGAGCAGAATAAGAAATGCAAGATATTCTTCCTTGCCTAGAATATATAGGCTCAAAAAAGTTGGGCAGACCTTCAATATTAGACCGTAAAGTCTTTGCCAGAGTCCATCAAGTTCACTAGATTTTAAACAGATACTTCTGTGAGCCTTAGCCTGTGCTCAGTACTCAGGGAAGATAGTGAACTATAGTTTGTGACCATGGCAAGTCCTCCTTAAACCCTAGTAATGCAACCCTTGTCTACCTTACCAGTATTGTCAGGAAGATCAATAGATAAAATGTGTGATTTGTGAATTGTAAAGTGTTCTATGGTTATAATTGCTTATCCTTTCTTGTATTTATAATTTAATGTGCAATTACTGAGTATCAGGTACTCTATTGCTGATGGGAATATAAAAAGTAATATATATGGTCTAGGCCCTCACAGTGCTTCCAGTCAAGTGAGAAGACAGATCTATTGGGGGAGGGGGCAAGAGGGAAATCAGTACAAAGTGATAAATTCAAAGGTAGATGTACAGCAGATATAGTCACTCTGAAAAGAGAGTGATGAACTCTGCCTGGGGGCAAGCTGGTGTCTGGAAATTGTCACAGGGTAAGTGACTTTGGATTGGATCTCAAGGATGAATCTATTGCCAGGCAAGCTGAGAGGGATGGACCTTCCAGATAAAAGGAATAACACATCATAGTGACACGGAGATGATGATGAGGGGTGTTGTTGTTGTTGTTGTTATGTGCCGTCGAGTCAAACCTGACTCATAGCGACCCCTCCTTGGGTTTCCGAGGCAGTATCACTACGGAAGTAGGATTGCCCAACCTTCCTTCCGAGGAGTGGCTGGTGGGTTTGAACCGCCAGCCCTCTGGTTAGCAGGCAAGTGTCTTATCCACTATGCTACCAGAGCTCCCATGATGAGGGGTAGCAGATGGAATTATTTGCCAAGACTAGAGAGGTAAACTGGGCTACACCTGGGAAGAACTTTGTAAGACAGTTCTCGGGAGTACATACTGTATCTTGAAGGCTGTTAAAGGATTTTAAGCAGGGGTCCATTCAGGAGGGGTGGAGGATGAAATTGAAAAGCAGAGATTAGCAATGGTTCTTGACCCTTTTAGGGTGAAGGGTCTCTTTGAGAAGCTGATGAGAAGCCACCCTTCTCTCCCCCAGAATGCATTATAATTTCTTGGAATTCCTAAAGATGATCTTTGTTGTTGTTCTTGTTAGGTGCCATTGCGTCAGTTCTGAGTCATTGCAACCCTGTGTACAGCAGAACAAAACACTACACTGTTCTGTACCATCCTCACAGTCATTATTATGTTTGAGCCCGTCATTGCAGCCACTGTGTCAATCTATCTTGTTGAGGGACTTCCCTATTTTGGTGACCCTCTACTTTACCTAGTATGATATCCTTCTGCAGGGACTGGTGTCTTCTGATAACATGACCAAAGTACGTGAGGCGAAGTCTGGGCATTCTCTCTTCTAAGGAACATTCCGGCTGTACTTCTTCAAAGACAGATTTTTTTGTTCTTCTTGCAGTCCATGGTATTTTCAGTATTCTTCAGCAGCCACAATTCAGATGTATCAATTATTCTTCAGTCTTCTTTACTCATGGTCCAGCTGTCACATGCATATGAGGCTATTGAAAGAAAATAACACAGCTTGGGTCAGGTGCGCCTTAGTCTTCAAAGTGATATCTTTGCTCATTAAAGAGGTCTTTTGCAGCATATTTTCCCAGTGGAATACTTTGTTTGATCTCTTGACTGCTGCTTCCATGGGTGTTGATTATAGATGCAAGTAAAATGAAATCTTTGACAACTTCAGTCTTTTCTCTGTGTCATGATGTTGCTTATTTGTGCACTTATGAGGATTTTTATTTTCTTTATGTTGAAGTATAATCCATACTGAAGGCTGTAATCTTTGATCTACATTAGTAAGTGCTTCAAGTCTTCTTTACTTTCAGCAACCAAAGGTTGTGTCATCTTCCTATCTCCAATTCTGATGCCATTTTCTTCATACAGTCAAGCTTCTAGGATTATTTGCTCAGCATAAGGATTTAATAAGTGTGGTGAAAGGATTGACACACACCTTTCCTGATTTTAAACCATCCAGTATCCCCTTGTTCTGTTCGAATGACAGCTTCCTGATCTATGTACAGGTTTCTCATGAGCACAATGAAGTGTTCTGGAATTCCCATTCTTCACAGTGTTACCCATAATTTGTTATGATCCACATAGTTGAATGCCTTTGCATAGTCAGTAAAACCCAGGTAAACATCTTTCTGGTGTTTTCTGCTTTCAGCCAACATCCATCTGACATCAGCAGTGATAACCCGCATTCCTTGTCCTCTTCTGAGTCTGGCTTAAATTTCTAGCAGTTCCCTATTGATGGACTTCTGCAACCATTTTTGAATTATGTTCAGCAAAATAATTTTACTTGCATGATAGATTAATGTTGTTCAATAATTTCCACATTCTGTTTGTTGGATTACTTTTCTTTGGAATGGGCACAAATATGGATCTCTTCCAATCGGTTAGCCAGGTAGCTCTCTTCCAAATTTGTTCGCATTAACAATTGAAGGCTTCCAGCATTGCATCTGTTTGTTAAAACATCTCAGTGGGCATTCCATCAATTCCTAGAGCCTTGTTTTTTGCCATTTCCTTCAGTGCAGCTTGGACATCTTCACTCAGTACCATTGGCTCTTGATCATATGCTGTCTCCTGAAGTGGTTGCATGTTGACCAGTTCTTTTTGGTACAGTAACTCTGTGTATTCCTTCCATCTCCCTTTGATGTTTCCTACAGTTTTTAGTACTTTGCCCATAGAATATGTCAATATTCGACTCGAGGCTTGATTTTTTTTCTTCAGTTCTTTCAGCTTGAGAAATGCCAAGTGTATTCTTCCCTTTTGGTTTTCTAACTCCAAGTCTTCACACATTTCATTATAATATTTTACTTTGTTTTCTTGAGCCCAAGGATGATCTTTGGGAATGGAGAAAACAGATGTTAGAAAAATAATAGGATGAGGTAAGTACTTAGTGGAATGTGAGAAGTGATAGAAGAGGAGGCATCCAGTGACACCTCAGTTTCTGATTTGGGTGAACGGTTAGGTATGTGGGTCTGGAGCTCAAAAGAGAAGTCGGGCAAGAGATAGAAATTTCTTCTTCTTTTCTTTTTTATTTTTGTTTGTTTTACATTCAATACTTCATGTACATTTGGTTTCATTCCCCAGTTACCATCCCCAACCTAACCCAGTCTTCTCCCCTCCCTGCCCAGTAACACCACCACCACCACCACCACCCTCCTCCCCTCATAGTTATGCACTCCTGCTTGTCCTGCATTTCCTCTGTGCAAATGTTGCCCCTCTGGTGCCCCGTGGTCAATTGCTCCAAGGCATGCATCTCCATAGAGTATGTGGGTGCGTCATGCTGGGTTGAGTGGTCTGCATGTACATCTTGTTTACTATTGGGCTGAGAGCCAGCCCCTGGGAGTGAGTTTTATTCCAGGCCCGAAGTGTATTCCAGGGCCATAGTATTGGGGGTCCCACCAGACTCCATCCGACCAGTAATTTTGGTCATTATTGTGTTTTTGGATTTTGTTCCATGTTTTTCCTCCCACTCTATCCAGAAATTTAGGAGTTGCCAGCATTTGCTTGATAGTTAAAACAATGGATGTAAGTGCAATTGCCCAGGGAAGGATTTAAAGTGAAGGTGTAGAGTCGTAAGCTAAGGACATGTGCCTCACTCAGGAATGCCAACATTTAAAGCATGAAGAGAGAAGAGGATCTGGGCACAGAGACTAAAAGGTATCAGAAATCAAGTTGTTTTTCCCTCAGAGAAGCATTGTATCTGTTCTGCCTGCACAGAACAGACATAGCTGAGGGAGGAAAGAAACTCCTCTGCCTTCTTCACTGAGACTTTGTCATCATTTGTTCCATTCCTAGCAAAACCCTTCTCCTGTATTACCTATGAGCATTGCTCCTTAGCAAGAAGCCGGCTCAGCTTAGTGCCTACAGCATCTTCCATCCTTGTCTGGTGCAGGTGACCAACCCTCTGCTTGATATGCAAACCTTGTTGGCCTGACTGTTCTGTCCATACTCTCCACCCATTAGAGTGGCATCTTCACAAGGTCAGGCTTCTGTGTTATGCAGTCATGGTTCATCCATGCTCTGTTACTGTGTGATCTTGAGCAGGTAATTTAAGGTCTTTGAATTTCAGTTTTCTCATCTATTAACCCATCTTAAAGGCTGGCGGTTCAAACCCACCAGCCACTCCTCGGAAGGAAGGTTGGGCAATCCTACTTCCGTAGTGATACTGCCTCGGAAACCCAAGGAGCTGTCAGAAATGCAAGCGAGTACTCAGAGTGCCTCTCATATGTACAACTAAAACAATAAAACACGGCTATGAGTCGGGGCCGACTCGACGGCAAATAACAACAACAACAACATAGAGTTGATGTGGTGATTGGAGATACATATAATTAAGGCACAATGACATTTGATGAAAAATTTCTCTATGGCCATAGATTTTGGCTCAGGGTAAGGTAGGAAGCCTCTCTTTGGTTTCCTGAGGAATGTACCACTCAAAGGTGACTAATGGAAGCTGGATGTCTGGCCATCAGGGATGCTGTAAAGGAGATCCAAAGACCTGGGGCTTTGGATTATATGGCCTCCAAGGGCCATGTCAGCCCTCTGATTTCTGAGGTTCTAGAAATCTCTAGACTCACCATCAGAGCCAGTAGTGTACTTGGAAGAAGTGGGATTTGAGCTCAGCTCTGGAAGGTCAAGAGGAAGGACAACAAGAAAAGATATTCTAAGTAAGTCCACAACTTGAGCAAAGGCACAGAGATGGCACAAATATGGAGAGGAGAGTGGAGATCATGGCTGTGCCTCTATCAACTCATTTCCCCGCTTCAGACACATCCCATTCAGTGCCTCGAGCGCCACCCATGCCCACTCCAGGAGAGTCACTTGTGGCTGGCTGATAGGCCCTGATCCTCAGGTGAAGGAGGCAATAAATTAGTGGTAACAGTAAACAAATTGCCCAGCCAGGGATGCCGCTGGCTGCTTATAAGTAACTGTTTGTTATAAACATGGGGTGTCTGGGGCTGTCAGAAATGCAAGCGAGTACTCAGAGTGCCTCTCATATGTACAATTAAAACAATAAAACACGGCAGAAACGTGGCCAGAGCAGGGCTGTAAATCAGCTTCTCTTCTCAGCTCCAAGTGGTGGCTGAATAAAGATGTGTTAGTTGTATAGAAGCTGGATTGGCATAGGGCCCCTCTGGTGGTAAAAGGCCTGACTTGCCAGGCTCAACTTGCTGGGGCCAATCCCACCAGCCCCAGTTGGCCCTTTCCTTATAGGCACTCTAATAGCTGCAGGTCCTAGCCTGCTCCAGCTGACCTCCCCATCTCTGTCTTCAGATAAGGGACAAGACAGTGCAGGCTGGCGCATCACTAACCAGTGGACAAGTGCCCTGGCGTTTAGCAGGTGGCTAGGAGTCCCCACTGGCGGTAATGGAACTGCTCTCTATATTTCTCTTCCTGTCTAGGACATTGCCAAAGAGTGGGTTCATCCCAACCCATCTACTCACCTGACTGCTGTATATGTCAACTCAGCACCCACTACATACTCAGCCTTGCCTAGATACAGCAGAGTTCAAACTCTGATGGGAATAATAAGACACCCAATGAAATAAGAGTATAGGTAGCTTGCATAAGAACTGCCTAAACAGCTTGTTTAAAACACAGATTTCCTGGGCCACACTACTAGAAGTTCTGACTTGGTAGGTCTGGGATGGGACTAAGAATTTACATTTCTAACATCCTCTCACTCTTTGAGTAGCATGGTCCAGAATACAGGCATTGTGGCCTTGTGCTTGAACTGCTTAAAAACTCATCTGAAACTTTGCCTCCCTGGAAAAGACCTTATTTTGCCCCCTTAAGCTTCACTGCTAGAGAGGCATGTGCCTAAGCCATGGTGTTATGGGTGTGTTGTTGTTGTTGTTATGTGCCGTCGAGTCAAACCCGACTCATAGCGACCCCTCCTTGGGTTTCCGAGGCAGTATCACTACGGAAGTAGGATTGCCCAACCTTCCTTCCGAGGAGTGGCACTTGATATTGTGACACTTGGAGCAATTTTATGCACCTCTCAGAGGCAATCTCCTTATTTGTAAAATAAAGGTTATTGGGAGAGTTAGAGATAGTATGTTTTATGCCTAACCAAAATCCTAGAAAATAGAAGGAATTCCATTAATGTAAGCTTCTGTTTTTTGTTTTTAATTTTTATTGTGATTTGGGTGACAGTTTACAGAGCAAATTTGTTTTCCATACAGCAGTTCACTTACACTTTGTCTCATGACATTGGCTGCAATTCCCACAATGCAACAGCTCTCTTCCCACTTCTGCCCATATTTACCTCTTCCCTATGTCCTTCCCTCCCATGCACTCCTGCCCCCCCAAGTCGTCTCCCTGTGCATACACAGCCCTTCTGTTCTACCATGGTCGATTTCTCCAAGGAGGATATCTACCTGTTGTAAATGTTCAGCTTACATGCCTGTCTTTTGTTTGGCTGGAAGCCACAGAAGTGGGTTCAGTTCCAGACCTGAAGGGCAGCTAGGGGCCATAGTCCCAGGGGTTCTACCAGGCTCTATCAGACCAGCAAACCTAGTCCCTTTTTTTTTTTTTTAAATGATTTTGAGTTTTGTTCCACATTGTTCTCCCACTCTATCCAGGATCTCCTACATAGATCCCCCTCCGAGTGGTTGACAGTGGTAGCCAGGCACCATCTGTAGACTTCAATTTTTACATCATCGTTATCCTCATTATACCCTTATGGAACTACATTCAGAGTCTTTGACACAACCTTCTGAATGCTTTTCTGTCTGTTATCAACAAGCAACCAAATATTATTTAGAATCCAAGCAAGGAGTGGCTTTGGGCAGTTCTCTTTCTCTCTGAATCTTGATTTTCTCATCTTTAGAGAATATTTCCTGCTGTACAGGCTTGTTGTCAGTATCAAATTGAAGTGTTTTCTAAAGCACTTGAGAAAATGTAAGACATGCAAATGTAAGGTGCTATCAACAACAAGGAAGACTGGGCAATCTACTTCCATAAAGATTTACCACCTCAGAAACCCAAAGGGAGTTGCTGTGAGTTGGAATCAATTTGATGGCAGTGAGTTTGTTTGTTTGTTTGTTTGTTTGTTTCAGTCAACAACAATACTTAATAAAGATTGAAGATGTGCCCAAGATGGTATTTGACAAGGATTCAATCAACCTACAGACAACATGGGCTATCAGAGCTCAAAAGGGAATATCTGTGGCTGAAGCAGTCAAGGAAATAATTTGAGCCTCAAAAGTGTGGGATGGTTTTGGAAAGGTTTCAGTGAGTTGGTGTGGTTGGGTGTAAGTGGAGAAGGGATATTCTTTGCCTAAAATACTCAGATGGAAAACAGAAAAGTAAGTTTCAGGCCAGCAAGCAGACTTCTTATTGGTGAAACATCCACACAGCAGAGGATTTGTTTCAGAGAGTACTGAGCAGTAAAAATTCAACAGTAGTAGACTGAGGCCAGATCAAGATGCTTGGACTTTATCCTTTAGACAGAAGGGAACCTTGAAGGTCCTAGAAGACAGGCCATTGCAGGAACTGATTCTTCCAGGGTAAAGAAGCAGAGAGAAATGGTGATGAGACCACAATGATGATGATAGCAGCAGCAGGTAACATTTATTGATACTTCCTATTTATTAACAGCAACCCTATAATGGAGGCACTCAGGAAATTGAGGCAGAAACATGATGCCAAATGCCAGCAGAGCTGTCTCCTGCTCTGTATAGAACTCAATCAGCAGATCAGTTTGTATGTGTCTCATACTTTGTCAGGTCAGCTTAGAACCTCTGGCTTGTCCAAAGTCTTAGAAGGCTTAGGAATCAACCAGGTCAGAAACACTTTGGCAAGTTATTATTTTAAATCAATGTCCCTGCCTCTTCCTCATCATTGTTCACACCCACACAGAACCTTATCACATCTCCAGGGCCAGTGGTTTTATGTGTCATTTCTCAGCAGCCGTGGCCATTGTAGAGTCACCAGCATAGACAATGCACTGTGAGTCCATCAGGCATTTTGGCTGACAAAGACTAAGTCTGTCATCCTGTTAGTTAATTGTTTCCATCCTTTCAGTCTTCCAACCCTATGTATATATATTTGACTAGGGGAGAGAGATAGACTAGTTGCCATGTTTTATTAAAAAGAATAAATTCTATTGCATTTATAAGAATAAGAAAAAGTAGAATGGGGTGCCAAAGAACTAGTCTTGTGATTTTTAACTGATTTACATATTTTGTATATAAATATTTTTTCATCAAAAGTTCCAAATCAGGCATAGGTCCCACACACCACACAAAATATATTAGAGACATTTATATGGATAGCAGGAAGGGAGACAGAGGGCTGAAATTTTCCAGGCACCCTGTGATTGATGGGGGCTGAGGCTCCCCCTGACGCTTTATTGAGTTTCCGATGATTATCTCTCGCTGAGACATTTTTTACAGATGACGGTCGAGCTGTCACAATGGACCATGGGGGAAAAAAAACCAACAATAATAACACTTTAATCTTTTTACTGCACTGCTCCCTAGTATCTCAGATTCATCTTCCCTGACGCACGCAGTTCATTATTCTGCCCCTCCCTGGATGGGAAATAAAGGAAAATAAATATATATGTAGACACAGTTACCCACATACATACACACACACACGGAGTATATAAAAAAGACCACCTCAGAACCAGAGAGGGGCAGAATTTATTGTTCTTTTTGCAAGTGTTGAGGTTTATTAGTAGAGATGCTGGGTTGGCTTGGAATTGGCTATTAATTACAGCATTTTGTATTTGTTTTTTATTGCGAGTTTTTAACATCTTGAAGAAAAGGCAGAGGAGAAGCAAGCAGGTGTAGGGATGGGGAGCACAGAGGGACCAAGTTTGACCAGTCAAGTAGCATAGCTAGCAGGCTCTTTCCTCTTTTTGCCAGCCTGTCCCTGAGGATCCCTGGAGCTGAAAGAACACTGCTTTGGTTAGGAGTGAGGAAAGGATGAATTTGGAGTAACTACAGGGTAACTTAGAGAAAATCTAGATACCTGTATGCTACTACTCTGAAACTTAGGAGAGATGGGAAGTAGAAGACATTCAAACAGTTTTATGAATCTCTAGATAACCAAATAACACATTCTTTTTTTTTTTTTTAATTACGATTTGGGTGAAGATTTACAGAGTAAATTCACTTTTCACACAGCAGCTCACACACACTTCGTCTCATGTCATTGACCAAAATTTACATTCTTTTTTTTTTTTTTAATTACGATTTGGGTGAAGATTTACAGAGTAAATTCACTTTTCACACAGCAGCTCACACACACTTCGTCTCATGACATTGACTACAATTTCCCACAATGCAACAGCTCTCCTCCCACTTCCTCCACATAGTTACCTCTTCCCTGTGTCCTTCCTCCCATGCACTCCTGCCCCTCAAGCTGTCTCCCTGTGCATGCACAGTCCTTCTACTCTTCCATGATTGTTCTCTCCAAGGA